TATATAATAGTATTTGTTATAATGATTTTTCCGTTAACTATTTATTATTATGTATGTGTATTTTTTATCATTAATTTCTTTTTATTAGCACTTTAATAGTCATCGTTATTTAAATTTAAGTACATTTATGTAATTTTTATTAAAATAATAACTTGTTTATTTATTTTATTTATTACTGTTTGTCGCAATTTATATTATTCTTAAAAATTCAACTAGTTTGCATACATAAAAATACCCAAAGCAATATGTAAATAGAGGAATACCCTCAACAACAAATTGTGATTCACAATTTTTGTGGCAAGCAATTTTCAGCCCTAATCCTAAATGTAACAGAAATATATTAGAGTTTTCTCAGCGCACATTAGCATTGTTTCTAATCACATTCATGAAATGATTGCACAATAATTTCCTAGCTGAGTATACCCTGTGCAGCTGTAATGCTTAAAGGGCATAAAGCGAAGAGACAGAGAATTAAGGGAAGGATGCCTTTGAAATGCAAATTACACCCAAGAGAGAGCGAGAGAGTTGTTGAGGAGGAGTTGGGATGGGATGGAATGGAATGGAATGGGATGGGAGTCGAGTGCCAGTGCCGAGATGCAGCGGAAAAGAAAATGCGGAAACTGCGCGCTGTCGGATTCTTGGCTTGTCGAGTGTTATGTATTTAGTGGCTGCCGCTGCTGCCTCTGCCGCTGCCGCTGCTGCTGCTGCTGCTGCTGCTCCTCGAGCTCTTTAGCTCTTTAGCACCTGCCGTACAATTTGCGCTTTGGCATAGGTCTCGTTTTCATTGCTGTTGTTGTGGCTGTGCGAATGTGGCGTTGCCACACAGTCAACCAGCTGAAGCTGAAGCTGTAGCTGGCAACGCCGTGAACTCTGCACGCAAAGAAATAATAAAGACAAACAGTGCATTGTGCGTTGGCTTGAATAAAAAACAGTAGTAAAAGAAGAAGAAGAAGAAGAGAAGCTGTTGGCCAGGTAAGGGAAAACAGTGTAAAAGCATAATGATAATGGCAACAGCAGGAGCAGCAGGAGTAGAAGTAGTCATAACTCCCCCCCACAACTCCCGCTCTTCACACTTCTGTGTCCAACTTGACACAATAGCACGCGGCCAAATAAAAATTTATGGCACAGCTGAAAACTGCAATGTAGCCAGTGTGTACACACTGTGGCCCGAGTCCGAAATCCCATTTCAAATTGTGTGAGAGCGGGAGAGAGGGAGAGGGGGTGAGTGGTGCAGGAGGTCGTGGAAATCCGGGTGTAGTGGGCCGGCCGCACCGTAAAACTGGGTGGCCTGTTATGAGTTTTAACGGTTCGTTGAAGCCGGTCAGCGGCATTGGCGAGATGGAATTTAAGTAGAAACCAAAAATAAAAAAGAAGAAGAAGAAACGTACAAAAACACAAACAGAAAGAATAAAAAAAAAAAAATAAAATAAAAACTTTTAATGAAAAGTGCACTGAATTCTTAATACCCGTCCAGTCAAAAGCTCCTCTTTTTACTATTTTCACCACGGCGCACTTTCGATTATGCTCTTTAAAGTCAGGCATATACGCTGATTTAAGCACGTACGTTCGAATATATACATATATATATACTGATTATATATGCCTGCTTGCTTATATGTGATGCGCTATTGAGGTTGAGTAAACAAAGATTATTTCAAGAGCTATTTAAATATAATTCAGTGAGTGAAAGGCTTGAAATTCATAACTATTAATTGCTATCGATTGCGTACAGTCAATCAATTTTTAACATATTTCAAAAGGATTTTCTTCCGCGCAGATGCACGAAAAAGTTAAATCCTTTTGAGGTTTAATTAAAGAATTTTTTAAAATAAAAAAAATTTTTTTAAATAAAAATAAATTAATCTTTTTAAATAACAATAATGCTGGAGTGGTGGCGTCGCCGATAAGTACAAAGACCGGGTTGTAGTTTCCAGTCTTTATGTGTAGGATGGTAGCTGTTCAGATCGTATAAAAGTAATGTGACATATGTATGTTGTCATTACCAGGAGAGGCCAGTGACCAGTGGAGCGGAGGCGCGGGGCGCTAAGTACCGCGAACCAGTAGGAGAACTGGTGTAGGAGTTATGTTATTAACAGAATGCTGTTAACAACATAACATTGTGTGGTGCGGGAGGAGCAATTCTTGTTAATGGGATCTGGCATTAACAAATAATAAACATAATCGATTATTCAATTATCCAATTTAATAAATTGAAATCTGATCTGCAAAGACTCTTAGATTTTATATGATTTAAAAAATTTGATTATATTATTATTTTTTTTTTATTTTTAT